TTTAGTAGGAATTTGCTGTGAGTTACCAAGTAATAACAATTACCTAAATGATCATAATTGACATGAAAACTACTCCGACATTTATTATCGCAAATAAATTTATAGCTAAACACAATTGCATTCAAATGCATATTAGGTTTATCTCTAAAAACCTTTATTTAAAGCCAAACAACTGAATCAAAACGTCAAAAGAGTTTATCATTATTTGATTATTATTTTTAGTTGTAATCTAAATAACGATAATTTCTTTATTTGTTACCAAATTCATTCATTCATACGATTCATCCATTAAACACCAAAAACCGGATTTGCGACAAAATTAAAAGTATTTTTATTTACTAATGGTATTGAAATTGTATTATAAAACGCGATTCCTATAGTGTTTTGTTTGTATCAATATTTATTACAATAGATAAAAAATGCTATTCAACTAAAACTAGTGACAAGTATTTGGTTTATAAATACAGTATAATAACGAAATTAACTTGAATTTTATTTTGGCTGAAATTGGTCTCAATTTTAAATGTGTTACGGAATTGACATTTTATGAAAGAGAGAGAGAGAGAGAGATCAAACTTGATTAATTAATGTAAAACAACTCAAATGTATAATAAATAAAGTAATTAAACTTATTGTATGGATTGACAGGTGTATTGGATCGGGCCGTTAGCCGGGGGTGCGTTGGCCGGAGCGGCCCATCGGTTCTTCTTCTTCAACAAAGACAAGGATCAGAGCAAACCGGCGAAGAAAGCTGACGCTCCGCCACCGCCGGCCGGCACTAACAACGAGTTGGTTTAAACACATCCCTCTCTTTCATATGATTGTCATTTGGTTTCATTTGTCGTTTTGCTTTTGATTTTCATATAAACTAATTGATTATAAATTTGTTTAATTAATTGTAGTTTTGTTTTTTCGTAGACAACTATTCATTTTGATGTCCTTTTCCTTTATATGACATTTCATTGTAATTAATAATATTATCTTTTAAAGCAATTCATTAATGTATTGTACATTACAATCAGTAAATAATGTATTGTATTTAGTCATTAAATTATATCTCTGTTTTAGCGTTCAATTTGTTTTTACCATTAATACCACTTTAAATGTAACACTTATTATATAATACACACACACTATCTCTCGACACATGTGTTTCAATATTTAAATTGATTGTTAGTTAAGGAAAGCGTTCATTAAATAAACATTTGTCTCATTTTCAACAGAATATTCTTGTATTACAATATGACTACTGTTTTAACTCAACCAAAATCCTCTATAAATTTAATTTTGTTAATTTAAACCCATTTATTATTTTTGTCGTAAATATAATTGTTGTTTAAATGTAACGAATCTCTTGATTGATTGGAGCATTAATTGAGTTCAAAATGTTATTTTCAGTGATTTTCAATTCAAATACTGTACATTTCTATGTTAACTAATTGTATATTTTTATTCATTTTGTGTGCATTTAATGTAACCATATTTGTAAGCCTTGTATCAAATCTACGATACAATTATTTTTAACTGTATTTTCAGTGCAAAAATTTACGCTAATTGTATTGATAATTAAATCTATTATTTAAGTGGTATTCAAAGTATAATTGATTGAATTATTGAAGTGCCAAACAAAATATATGCACACAAAACACATTTGACAGCATTTGTCACAATTGAAACAAACATTGTTTTCGAGCCCCAAATCAAAAGCTTTAAATCATTTTTATATTTTACAAACAATTTACAGCAAATTATACGAGAGATCTGTTTATCGCATATAATCTGCTATTTTATGGTCACAATTTTCAGATGACATTTCTATGCAATCAAATTAAAAGCCAATATTAATTTGTGTATTAAATCAATTGTTTTAATACTGTATTGAATTTGTAATAACATTATTCTGTAACCAAAACAATGTATTCAATTTGGTTTCGCTATTAATAAAAATTAAAATTATTGAAACAAAATTAACTACAAATCAACAAATTTATTGACTAATAGTAATTGTTTTTATTATAATAAAATTCACAAATAATGAACAAAATTGACTTTTGACTGATAAACAAATTGAATTTCTTAAAATTTTAAATACAAAGCGATAAAAACAATTGAAAAATAAGTAATCAAATCAATAACTATGAGATTAATGTCATTAAAAAAATGTTTTCACAATTACTTTAAATCGTTTAAAACGGGGGGAAATGTGCCACAGATTGCCGACACAAACACTGCGTTAGAATACTATTGCTTTTCAGTCATTAATAGCGGAGAAAAATTATTACACATGATTTGTGAGAAAAATAATGGTTTAAATAAAACAATTACGCAATAAAACAATTGAAATCAAATCAAAATTTATGTCTTAAAAACTATTTTCAAAGAGTTTTCTCGCAAACAGAGAGACGATAACAGCGATTAAGGACTGAATCCAGAAGTAGTGAAGTAGTGGTCAATGAATAGACATAGAGAGAGGGATACGTATGAAAGAGATATACAAAGGTCTGGGAGAGGAAGGGGTCGGACAGGGGATCCGGTGGTGACGAGTAGTGATGACAGCGTTTATGACTTATTGGCCACTCGTCTAAGAAGAATATAGATCTTCTCTTTGATCCACTCCTTGGCGTACGGCGCGTACGTATTGGTGTTGCGCTGATATCTGCGGTGACAACAAAACAAAGAGACAATCAGACAATGAAACACGTGTTTGACCACAAGTGGTGAGACAATGACAATCAAAATACTGACACTAAACAACTCAAATCAGTCAACTGGTCGATGAAGTCGAAGAGCTGTGAGATGTCATAAGTGATGGACGGCGTGTCCGGATTGGTCCGCTTCAGGTGCTGTTCATAGATATGACAAACGCCTACACATAACGAGACAATCGCATTAACACACATCACACCCGCGCAGGTAATCAGTTCAATGGCAATGCCATCGGTTGTCACCACACGCTGTATGGGATCAACTCAATGGTGATCATGTCTTAAAGCATACCTTCCATGGCATCGTTGACGGACTCGAAGTCGCTGTAAGTCCTGGTGTCGGGTTTGCCCGTCTGTACCAATACTATCGTGTGGGCCATCGCTGTCGCCGAGTGGTGTCTATTGTCTGTATGAGTGGTAATGTCTTTGTCGGTGAGGAATGAGTCCAACGAGTGATCAAATGGTCGCTTAATTTCAACTCAAAAGATGATAGACTGAAGGCTTGAGCCAAACATTAATGTGTGCTCTAATGCACGCATGCGTTCACTATATATGCCAATCTATAACACATGGTTTGTACATAAAGTATGTGCACTATATATGAGGGGCTGAAATGAATGTAGTGTTCATTGTATATGAATTCAACTCTGGGGGACAATAAGGGGTTGTTTTATGTGATATAAAATCTGAATGAAAGTGCATTTATTCCACACCTTTAATGTGTGTTATTATAAATAAATAACACCTAAAATGTGTATAACTTTTTGAATGGCAAAGTTTTTATAAACATTTATGAATTTTAATTATAAAATTAAATCCAAATAGTATTGAAATAATATGATGTTAAAGTTATAAATAATTTAAATTTGAGCACACTAACATTTTTTACATAAAACCAATGCACGTGGTATAGTGCATATAGTATAGTACATATAGTATAGTATTCAATTAGTATAGTATAGTACAGTATAGCTGTAACTTAAGTTACTTACAATTGTTATAACTCGTGGATAGAATGTAAAACTGATAACTCATTTAATGTGTAATTTTATAATTAATCGTTTCATTCAATTTGAAATTTATTGATTTGAAAAGCAATTGACTTATACTGTATACACAATTGCCTAACATTTATATGTTTTAAAGCAATATGTTTTCAATGAATATATATTTATTACATTTAATCTCATATCACTGTAAGTGAATCCCTAATCTATAAAAAATTTAATTATACAATAATTTTTATAATTAAATGTACGATAAATTAGGTGTTGTGTCGATGTTTTGGGAAATTGGTTACTATCCAAACATTAGTGATAACAAATGTGGTCTTAGATATGCCCCACAAAAAGTGCCCATAAATAAGCCGATCAAATGTTTCGCAAACGATGTCAGTAACCAAACCATTGATGTTTACGGCGACGATTTCAATTACATCGGCCAAACCGTCAATATATCGGGCATTAATTTAAAGGACTGGGGTTTGGATACAGAGTTAGGAGAATCTCCTTATACTGTGCTCATTAGATTTACTGATGTTCACCTTTCCATCGGATCCGAGTGTACGGGTGTTATAATTAACAAGCGTTGGATTATGACTGCAGCCCATTGTAACTACAAGTATGTCGTGTGCTGTGCAATAATACCCTGCATATTTTATAACTTATTCAATTCATATAATAATGAAATAGCGGAACGTCGGGGGGCAATATGCACACGCATATACATGTATTTGTGGGAAGTATTATGAAAGGA